CAGAGGAGTGGAGTTTTAAAAAATTTCTGGCCCGAAGTGGTGAATTGGTGCATTCACATATTGAACAGAAGTCCCACCCTTGCTGTTCAAAATATGACACCTGAAGAAGCATGGAATGGACGAAGACCAGCAGTTGACCATTTTCGAATCTTTGGATGTATTGCATATGCCCACATCCCCGATGAGAAGAGGAGAAAACTAGATGACAAAGCAGAAAAATGCATTTTTCTTGGTGTTAGTGATCAGTCCAAAGCTTACAAATTGTACAATTCTATCACCAAGAAAATTGTAACCACTCGTGACGTTGTTTTTGATGAAGAAAACACTTGGTCATGGGGTGATAATGGCACTGGACATCAAATTTCAGCAAATTTTGATAATGAAGATGAAGAGAGAAGGCAGCAACTTGAGGCAATGAGCAACACTCACCAGAGTCTGAGTCGACAGTATCTCAAAATCCACTAGTAGTTGACATTGTTGAATCATCAAGTGTACAGCCAGATATAGTGACCAGTACACGTCCTCAACGCATTACGACAAGACCAGCATGGATGGCAGATTATGAAGTAAGTGCAATTGACCAATCTGATGATCCACTCACACATTTTGCTCTATTTTCAGATTGTGATCCTAGAGCCTTTAACGATGCTGTTAAAGAATTAAAATGGCAGAAGGCCATGGATGATGAAATTGCAGCCATTGAAAGGAACAATACTTGGGAATTGACAGATATTCCTAAAGGGCAAAAAACAATTGGAGTCAAGTGGGTTTGCAAAACAAAGTTGAAGGAGAATGGTGAGGTTGATAAATATAAAGCGCGCTTAGTAGCTAAAGGCTATAAGCAAGAATTTGGCATCGATTACAAAGAAGTTTTTGCTCCTGTTGCAAGACATGATACAATCCGATTGGTGATCGCATTGGCAACACAAAACTCATGGCCTATCCTCCAGTTGGACGTAAAATCAGCCTTTTTACATGGAGACTTGCAAGAAGAGGTATTTATTGATCAACCTCCTGGTTATGTGAAGCTTGGAAATGAGCATAAGGTATATAAATTAAAAAAGGCTCTATATGGACTAAAACAAGCTCCCAGAGCTTGGTATAGTCGTATAGAAGCTTATTTTTTAAAGGAAGGTTTTCAAATATGTCCATATGAGCATACACTTTTTACAAAAATTGGAGATGGAGGAAGACTTGTTATTGTATGCTTATATGTAGATGATTTGATCTACACTGGAAATGAAAAGGTCATGCTGGAACAACTTAAACAGTCTATGATGATGGAATTTGATATGTCTGATCTTGGAATGATGTATTACTTTCTGGGCATAGAAGTGGTCCAATCTCCCGTTGGCATTTTTATGTCACAAAAGAAATATGTACGAGATATTTTAGACAGATTTCAGATGAAGAATTGTAATTCTGTTAGCACTCCAACTGAAATAGGATTGAAGCTCTTCAAAGATCCTGAAGGAAGAAAGGTTAACAGCACGCTTTACAAGCAAATTGTGGGAAGTTTATTGTATTTAACTACAACCAGGCCAGATATAATGCATGTTGTAAGTCTCATTAGCAGGTACATGGAATGCCCAAGAGAGATGCATCTTCTAGCTGCCAAAAAGATTTTTAGGTACTTGCAAGGTACCGTTGATCTTGGGTTGTTCTACAAGAAGGGAGAAAATCACATCTATATGGCTACACGGACAGTGATTATGCAGGAGATTATGATGATAGAAGAAGCACATCTGGGTATGTTTTTATGATGGGTTTAGGGGCCATTTCTTGGTCATCAAAAAAGTAGCCAATTGTTACTTTATCAACTACTGAGGCCGAGTTTGTAGCTGCAACATCATGTGCATGTCAAAGTGTCTGGTTGAGGAAAATTCTTAAAGAACTTCATTTCAAGCAACAAGGACCAACTCCAATTTATTATGATAACAGTTCAGCAATTAAACTCTCTAAAAATCTTGTTTTACATGGAAGAAGCAAGCACATAGATGTCAAGTGTCACTTCTTGAGGGACCTCACGAAGGATGGAATGATTGATCTCATTTACTGCAAGAGTGAAGACCAAGTAGCTGACATACTAACTAAACCCCTTAAATTAGTTATGTTTTTGAAGCTGAGGAAGCCACTTGGCGTCTGCACATTAGAAGATTCAATTTGAGGAACAGCTGCAACGAATCACCATTAAACTGAATGTTAGAAAAATTTCAGTTTAAGGGAGGGTGTTGAGATTTTTGTCATCTTTTAATTAGTCTTTGTTTGTTATAGTTTAGGAGTCAGTTGTGGTGTTTTACCTATTCAATAGGAGTATCCCAGTTATGTAGGAGTCTTAGTAGTGGCTGTTAGTCATGGAGTAATCTGTTCCTTTTTATTCTGATGATTTTCTTACTACTTGTTCTATTTAAGCTGTAATCAGTCAGGTTGAATAAATTGGCAGCTTCAGTTCATAATATTTTCTTATCTCTGTTGCTTCCAATAAAGGTAATTTTTAACATCCACAATATACTCTTCATCATTACCATATAAGCCAATCACGCACTTAACTTATCTTTCTAACTCATGGAATTGCTTCACTTGACAACAAAGGGATGCATCCAACTCATAATGAAATAAGTCAAAGATAGAGGGTGTATAAATTCACAACTTGGATTAAAACGGGAGATTTTTTCAATTTGATTCTAGGCAACTTTTGTCTAGAATCATATATTGCAGAAACTTCCTCGTAACGCTTATCTACATAAAATGGAAGTCTACAAGAGGTGGGGTTGGTCTGACGATGACATTCACTTGGCTTTCAAAAAGTTCCCCAAATATCTGTGTGTATCCGAGAAGAAAATTATGAGTGTGATGGATTTTCTTGTGAATGAGATTGGTGTCCAGCCTACAAATATTGCTAGATATCCTAACTTTCTTTGTTACAGTTAAGAGAAGAGGATCATTCCCAGATGTTCTGTCATCAGAGTTCTGTGGTTGAATGGCTTGATAGATAAAGATAGAAATTTAAAAACTCTGCTTTCAATCAGTGAGAAGAGCTTCTTGGATGCCTTCATTACCAAATATCATGATCAAGTTCCTCAACTGTTGAGTGTTTATAAAAAGAAAATTGACGTTCTAGAATTAGGCAGTGGAAACAAGAGTACTCCTCACGTTAAAAACTCTGTTTTTTCGGATTATTACATTCATTGGACTTGTGTCAATATGCTTTCTGCAGGGAATAGTTATGACTTGTGGGATCATTTTGTTTCTCTTCGCAATGTAGGAGTTGTTGAGGTCATGAATGTGTGCACTCAAAGGTGATAAAAAAATGGAGGTAAAACCTTAATTTGTTTCACGTAAGTAGTCAGCCCAAGTGCTGTAACATGGTTCATTCTGTTCACCATGTTTCTAGAATATCTACCTTCCTTGCCTCCCCTACATGGGAACACCAACAAAATCTAGAAACTGTTTGAGAGACTAGATGGTGATCTTGTTTCACTGAATTACCAAGAAACCAAAGATAATTTGTATTATTTTTTTTATCGTTATAGACATTTTTAGTGATTTGTACTTCTGAAGTTGGCTTGCCCTAACTTCTTTTATTGCTTTGTAATTCTAGGAATTTTTATCATATCTGACCTCAAACCAATTAGTGGTCTTGATATAATTCTTTACTTTTTTTTTTTTTTTTTCCTTCTCCTTTTCAAGATTTGGTGTTGGTGGTTGGTGGGTTGGGCATTGCATTGATTGGAAAATGTAATTTCTAGGAAGATTTTCACAGTAAGTTTTTTTTTCCAAGTCAAATGATATCAATATTATGTTTATTGAATGCCTATTGCTGGTTATACCCAAATATAGAAAATGCTTTTGCCATAAATTGACTGTGCTTGTGTAGTTTGCTTTCTATGCTGACTTTCAGTTCCCTGCTCTTTTGTAACTGAGCTTGGAAAACTAATTCCTTCTGTTGTCTTAGTTTCCTTGAGAATTGCTTCAGTAATTCAAAACTCAAAAGTTATTTATGCTAGAAAGCAAACTTTTTTTGTATGTTGGAGCTCAATCTTTGCAGTCCAGAATTAATCATGACAATCATTAAGCATTGTCACTTTTAGACCATGTTTATATCTTGGGTTTAATTAAGAAAGGAAAACACAATCCATATAAAATTGTGTTGCATATTTCGCAAGCAACTATTTATAAATATATATATATATATTTCTCAAGTAACTAAGCAAAAAGGTATTATTTTTTCAAATAATATTTATTAAAAAAAAACACTTGATAAATAATTTAACTTCTGCTTTATTTTTAGAAAAAGAAAGTGAACAAAATCTTTCATCCACATTAATTAGTGGAGAATTTTGTTTACCAATGTACCTGCCCCTATGATGAACAAAATTGCCATGGAACAAATGTTAAGAGTAAAATTGTGACCCCATTTAGCCAAACCAAAAAAAATCATTACTCATAAATTCTGATTAATTAGTGATTTATTGTCACTTGATTACCCTCATAATCGATAACTATTTCGAAAGCATAGATTCAAAATAAGCAAGGAAGTGAAAATAAATGATGAAGGGCAATATTTTGAGTTTTAATTTTATAATATTGAAAAAAATTAAATGGTATATATTATACACATGGATATAATTAGTAAATATAAACAAAACATAGCGGGTTAAACGGGCAAAAAAATTAAACCCATCCTCACTCTTTCACTGGAGCGGGAAAAAATAATGCGGGTCAGGGCAGGACAAAATGGTGCGGGCTAGGACGGGGATGCGGGTCGGGGCAAAATTGCCTCTCCCACCCCACCCAGATACCAATCCGCGTATAATAGAACCCCGGAATGAACAGAACCGAACCCAGAATCGCAAAGAAAATCCCGTGAGCAGTGTCGCCGCCGACTCGATGGAAGGCCATGATGGGGCCCAGAACGATGCCTAGGGTTCCGAAAACGAGGAGAGAGACAGCGAGAGCGATCTCTTTGATCGGAGGGCGGTTGTTGTAAGAGGAGTCCGTCATGATGTCTTCGTCGGAAATGGAGAAAGCTGGAGCTCCTCCATCTGTCTGTCTGATGTGATGAAGAGTTGGAGGTCGGAGGCGTGGCGGAGCTCCTGCAGGAACTGGCGGCAATGGCCGCAGGGGGCGGCGGAGACGGAGAGGGCGAGTAGGCGGGTTCGGCCGTGTACGACGAGGTCGGTCACGAGAAATTGCTCGGCGTGGACGGAGTGGTGGAGGGGGAGACCAGGGAACTCAAGGTTGACGCCGACGCAGATCCGACCGTCGGCGCCGACGTGGTAGTCGGAGAGAGGAGGGCGAGCTAGGGTTTGAGCTGATTTGACGAAGGTAGGGAGGAGTTGGAGGAGAGAGAGGCCTGAGTTAGTCGCCATTGATGAGGCCTCTGATGCTTCAATTACAAATCTGGGTCCATCCATTTCCAGCGGGCAGCGAAGGCAAGATTGCCGGCCGGCTGCCCGCCGGTGAGAAAAAAAAAATACAAGCCTAAATCTTATAGCTCTGATACCATGAAAAATAATGATGTATTATTTATTGATGTGTTGATTGTTGTATATTGATCTGTATGTTACAAGCTATTATATAGGAGAGGTGTGAGGTAAGTGAGTGGTGGTAGTAGATGGTAGTGGAGGTGGTGGGTGGTAGTGGAGATGGTAAGTGTGTTAGGTTTAGTGGGGTGGATGTAGTGGGTTAGGTTTAGTGTACATTAACAGAGGTCATGAATGTGTGCACTCAAAGGTGATAAAAAAATGGAGGTAAAACCTTAATTTGTTTCACGTAAGTAGTCAGCCCAAGTGCTGTAACATGGTTCATTCTGTTCACCATGTTTCTAGAATATCTACCTTCCTTGCCTCCCCTACATGGGAACACCAACAAAATCTAGAAACTGTTTGAGAGACTAGATGGTGATCTTGTTTCACTGAATTACCAAGAAACCAAAGATAATTTGTATTATTTTTTTTTTATCGTTATAGACATTTTTAGTGATTTGTACTTCTGAAGTTGGCTTGCCCTAACTTCTTTTATTGCTTTGTAATTCTAGGAATTTTTATCATATCTGACCTCAAACCAATTAGTGGTCTTGATATAATTCTTTACTTTTTTTTTTTTTTTTTCCTTCTCCTTTTCAAGATTTGGTGTTGGTGGTTGGTGGGTTGGGCATTGCATTGATTGGAAAATGTAATTTCTAGGAAGATTTTCACAGTAAGTTTTTTTTTCCAAGTCAAATGATATCAATATTATGTTTATTGAATGCCTATTGCTGGTTATACCCAAATATAGAAAATGCTTTTGCCATAAATTGACTGTGCTTGTGTAGTTTGCTTTCTATGCTGACTTTCAGTTCCCTGCTCTTTTGTAACTGAGCTTGGAAAACTAATTCCTTCTGTTGTCTTAGTTTCCTTGAGAATTGCTTCAGTAATTCAAAACTCAAAAGTTATTTATGCTAGAAAGCAAACTTTTTTTGTATGTTGGAGCTCAATCTTTGCAGTCCAGAATTAATCATGACAATCATTAAGCATTGTCACTTTTAGACCATGTTTATATCTTGGGTTTAATTAAGAAAGGAAAACACAATCCATATAAAATTGTGTTGCATATTTCGCAAGCAACTATTTATAAATATATATATATATATTTCTCAAGTAACTAAGCAAAAAGGTATTATTTTTTCAAATAATATTTATTAAAAAAAAACACTTGATAAATAATTTAACTTCTGCTTTATTTTTAGAAAAAGAAAGTGAACAAAATCTTTCATCCACATTAATTAGTGGAGAATTTTGTTTACCAATGTACCTGCCCCTATGATGAACAAAATTGCCATGGAACAAATGTTAAGAGTAAAATTGTGACCCCATTTAGCCAAACCAAAAAAAATCATTACTCATAAATTCTGATTAATTAGTGATTTATTGTCACTTGATTACCCTCATAATCGATAACTATTTCGAAAGCATAGATTCAAAATAAGCAAGGAAGTGAAAATAAATGATGAAGGGCAATATTTTGAGTTTTAATTTTATAATATTGAAAAAAATTAAATGGTATATATTATACACATGGATATAATTAGTAAATATAAACAAAACATAGCGGGTTAAACGGGCAAAAAAATTAAACCCATCCTTACTCTTTCACTGGAGCGGGAAAAAATAATGCGGGTCAGGGCAGGACAAAATGGTGCGGGCTAGGACGGGGATGCGGGTCGGGGCAAAATTGCCTCTCCCACCCCACCCAGATACTGAAGGAGACAGAGAGAGAGAGAGAGTGTGTGCGCGTGCGAGGAAGAGTTCTATGAATGCTACAGAGAGAGAGAGATGCTGAATCGATCAAGAAAATCTTGGTGAAGCTGGTGAGTTCATAATCTCTACCCTCGGAATATTTTCTCTATCACTTTGAATGCAATGTTTGCTTTCTTTTGTCAACAAAGCCGACTCAGACATTGTGGTTCTGTTGGAATTTCAGCCACAACTCATCTGGGTTTTCTTCCAAAACTACATATAACAATACCCATCAAATTCTTCTCATCAAAGAAAACATCAACACCACCAACAACCAAGAATGAAATCGAGTGTTTTACAGTGTCTCACCTCATAAACTCATGTGGATTATCCCCAGAAATCGCCAACTCTATATCCCACAAGGTTCATTTTCGGACCTCCGATGAACCAGACTCTGTTCTGTCTTTCTTCAGAGATCGTGGGTTTTCTGATTTCCAAATTTCCAAACTAGTTCATAAGTCCCCATCGTTGCTCTTATCAAACCCCAACAAAACCCTTTTGCCCAAACTCGAATTTTTCCAATCTTTAGGGCTTTCAAGAACTGAAGTTGCTGACCTTGTTGCTTCGGCCCCATTTCTGTTACGCTATAGCTTGAAAAACCGCCTCATCCCAGCTCTTGATTTCCTCAAAAGAGTTGTTCTTCTTGACAAACGGGGTGTCTTTGCTTTGATGCTCCGGCCTCGGTTTTTCTGGATTCATGTGGATAAAAATGCTATCCCCAATGTGGCATTGTTGAGAGAACTTGGTGTGCCTCAATCCTGTATCTCTTTATTGGTAAGTGGGAATCCTTCTGTGGTGGCTGGAAACAAAGACAAGTTTAATCTGTGTGCAAGAAAGGCGATTGAAATGGGATTTGATCCTTCGAAAGTGACATTTGTGGATGCAATTTGTGTGTTTTTTGGCATGAGTACATCAGCTTGGGAACGTAAAGTGAAAGTCTATAAGAGATGGGGTTTGTCTGACGATGACATTCACTTGGCATTCAAGAAGTTCCCCAGATGTATGATTCTGTCCGAGAAGAAAATTACGAGTGGGATGGATTTCCTTGTGAATGAGATTGGTTTCGAGCCTATAACTGTTGCTAGAACTCCAAAAACTCTTGGTTACAGTTTGGAGAAGAGGATCATTCCCAGATGTTCCGTCATCAGGGTTCTGTCATTGAATGGCTTGATAAAGAAGGAAAAAGGTTTAAGTGCTATCCTTTCGACGAGTGAGGAGCGCTTCTTGGATGCCTTCGTTACCAAATACCAGGATCAAGTTCCTCAACTGTTGAATGTTTATCAAAAGAAAACTGACGTTCTAGAATTAGGAATTGGAAATGAGGGTACTCCTTAAGTTAAAACAACTATAGTTTATCAAGAAAATAAAATCTGAAGTTTGGAGTAATTATTAGCTTTCATTACAGCAGTTGCAATTTTTTCGGCTTGTTAACTTCACTGGACTTGTGCCTTCTTAGTTGCAGCAGGCAACAGAATTGTGCCAAATTGGCTTTCTGCTGGGATTATTTATGAACTTCGGAGATCTTTGTTTTGCTTTTGACATTTCTCTTTGCAATGAATGATGTCTTGAGGTCTTGAAGATGGTAAAACCTTATTGTTTCACACTAGTAGTCAACCTAGGTTCTATAACATGTTTCATTCTGTTCACCAAGCTTCTGGAAGATCTCTACCTCTTTGTCTTCCCTACATGGAAACACCTGCAAAATCTAGAAACTGTTGGGGACTAGATGGTGATCCTGTTCCACTGAACAAGAATTACCAAACTCGCAGGGTGCTATAGATAAGTTTTATTTATGATTGTTATAGACATTGTTAGTGAGATGTAATTTTGAATTTGGCATGTGCCTGCCCCTTTTATTGCATTGCTATTCAAATATATATATTTTACCTCTAACCAATCAGTGGTCTTTGACACAATTCTTTCCTTCCTTTTTCCTTCTTTTTTTTTTTTTTTCAAATTTTCAAGATTTGGTGTTGGTGCTTGTTGGGTTGGGCATTGCATTGTGGTATTTCGTGATGGTTTTAATTGGAAAATGGAATAATTTAGCAATAATTTAATGTTTAAATTGCTTTGATTAGAACAAGATTGTGGAGACGAAGAGCCATACACACTTTTGAAGAGTTGCACAGCAAGTTATTTTATTCCAAGTCCATGATATTATAATTGTGTTAATATATTTTGTACATCCTTATGTTCATTTCAATGTTACATTATCTATTTTCATGTAGTCTTGGATGTTATGCTTTTGTGTTGGATGGAAAATTTTGTTTCACATAAAGATAGTAGAGACATGGTGAAAGTGTTAGCGTTCACATGATGCTCTTCTTGCCTATTTGGAAGTTGGGAGCATTCAGAATGCAGCCCTTCTGCATGTGTCTACTTTAGAAGAGAAAGTGGGTTCCAAATGATGTTCTTTTCGGTTTGGAGAAGAGCACTATCCTAGGTGTTTAGCTATCAAAGTTTTGATGTTGAAAGGCTTGATATATATAATAGGTGTGTTTCTCCACTGTATGATTTTTTGAACTCATTTACACTTAGAATGTTGCAAGTGCTTTAATCAAACTGTTTTTGACATTTGTAACTCTTGATGCGACAATAAATTTCTCTACTAGCAGGAATTGAAGATGGTGGGGGTATAAAAAAGACGGTTGTTCATTGTGAGGGCTCCATGGTGAGTACTGGCGAGGGAGTTTTGAGTCGATGCTCTGGCAAGCCAGTGAGTCACGCTTTATATACTCGTGTTAAAAGGATTCAAATTATATGTAACTCAAGAGATTAATCTTTCCGCAGACTTTTGATTGTATGTGTAAGCTTAGCATTCAAATTTCAATAGCTAGGGTATGCGGTGATCATATTAGCATTGCAAGTCTAAAAAAATTGTCCAGATTGGCCCTACAAACTCGATGTAATCTCAAGTCTTATGAATAGTGTTTGTAGTTACCCTTATTTTGCACCTCGTGTCTCGTCTTACAAATAATCCTCGTGTTAGGAAAGTGCACCTTTATCTTGCACTTTGTTATGTGGTTAAGGGTGTAAATAAAAATAATTCACAGAGGCTTACTGTTTTAGACCCTTGAAAGAAATGTAGTGAAATCTGTCCTGTTTTCCATGCAGGTTTATTGGTCTTCTTTATTCATTCTTCCCAAGAAGATTATAAGAGCCATTGAAATCCTTTTTAGGTCTTTCTTTTGGTCTAGCTATGAGCTTAGAACCCATGGGGCTAAAGTTTCTTGGGAGAATATCTGTTACCCTAAAAATGAGGGGGGTTTGGGGATTAAATCTTTAGAAATCTAGAACAAAGCTGCCATTGCCAAGCATATTTGGTTTCTCTTTTCTGGGGGTGAGCAATCCATGTGGTGTCAATGAGTCAAATCTTACTTGCTTAAAGGCAAGAGCTTTTGGAGGGTAAAAATGCCTAGTGCTCCATCTTGGGTTTGAAGGAAAATTCTTTCCCTTAGACCTATCATTTACCCTCTGATTCAGCACTGTGTTGGGGAAGGGGAGAAGATTTTCTTGTGGTTTGATAACTGGCATCCCCTTGGATCTCTATGGGCTAAGTTTGGGGACCGTATTATTTTTTACTCTACCCTTGGCATGGAGTCTAAGGTCAAAGATATTGTGGGTGTTTGGGAAGTGATTTTTTTTTTTGGGTTTTTTGGCTATTTTAGTAGACTATTTTAGTTTTTGTGTTTGGGAAGTTGGCTTAAATTTTTGGGTTGATTGTTGTATTAAAAAATGTGTTTGAAATAATGTTTAAGATTAAAATGACAGATTTGCCCCTAACCTTATTTTTTCCAAAATTGAGCTATAGGGGTAAAATGGTCATTTACCTATCTGCAGCCTACACTGTTGGTGACAGTGTAGGCTGACAGCCGCTGCTCTTCATTTTTTTTTTTTTTTTTTTTTTAATTAGGGGGGAAAATTTTTTTTTTTTTTTTTTTGAATTAGGCGAGACAATTTGAGGCTTTTAGGCTTTTTTTTTTATAATTTGAGGCTAAAATAGCCTATCTCAAAGGTTCCCAAACACCCCTATTTTTTTTTTATAATTTGAGGCTAAAATAGCCTATCTCAAAGGTTCCCAAACACCCCTATTGTTGATAATACTAGTTGGAGATGGCCTGTTGCTTCTTCTTGGGAATTAAGGGAATTGATTGAGAGCACTCCTTCTACCCTCCATCCCAATAATGGCCCAGATTCTGTCAGATGGCTTCCCTCCTCTGATGGGAAATTTTCTGTCACTTCAACTTGGAATTATTTGAGAAAGTTTGGGGATAGAATGTCCTTGGCTGCCATTCTTTGGGGCCCCCTTAATATCCCTAAGGCTAGTTTTGTAACTTGGATGGCAATCCTTGGCAGATTGAATACTAGGGATAGACTAAGATTGTTTGGCATTTCTCAATCTGTTGAATATGTGTTTTGTAAGGACTTCTGTGAAAATCACAATCATCTGTTTTTTTATTACCCTTTCTCTTCTAGAATCTGGACATGTATTCAATCTAAGTTGAATGTCTCTTGGCCTGTTAGTCAATGGCCTGGTATTACTCAGCGTGTGGCACAATCTGCTCAAGGTAAATCTATTAGAGCTGTTATTGTTAAACTGGCTTTTACTTGTACTGTGTATCAATTGTGGATTGCTAGAAATAATAGAATTTTCAAAAAAGAGATGATTCTTGAGGTGGTTGTTATTAAATGCATTGTGGATATGATTTTTTGTATGATGTCTATGACTAACCTATGTTACATGGACTCGGGTGCGGGTGTCGGGTGTGGATACGTATACATATCTAAGGGTCGGATACTTCAAAATTAAAAATTGAGGATACGTGGATACGGATCCAAATTTGGATACGGGTACGGGGATACGTTGAATAGTTATTTTTTAAATATATTTATTATATGAAGATGAGTTTAAAAAGTTAAGGAATTTTGTTTAAAAAATAATAAATAAAATATAAATAATAAATAAAAAATATTTTAAACATAAAATAAATTACATCATATATGATAAAATAAATTATTTTTATTTTAGACATAAAAATTATAATATTTTAAATTATAAATTATAATTTTAGACAAAAAAATTATAATTTTTTTCTTTTTTTATCCACCTAAAAAAAATTATAATATTTATAATATATTATAATATATAATATTTTTTTGAGTGAATATCATATAATATGAACACTATTATATATTATTATATTAATATCATTTATACTAAATAGAAACCAGAGAAAGAGAACGGAAGGAAAGGAAGAGAAGACAGTCAAAGAAGAAAAGAGAGAGAGAGAGAGAGGAGAAGAGAAGAGAAGAAGATAGAAGAGACAGAGAGAGTTCGCGACCAGGGTTCGCGACTAGGGTTCGCACTTCAGATCTCCTTTGATTCGGTCTAGTTCGCGACTAGGGTTCGCACTTCAATCTTGCTTCGCAATTCGACTTGATTTGCAAAGGTGAGTTTCAACCCTCCCTCTCTCTCTCTCTCTCTCTCTCTCTCTCTCAACAACCCTTCTTTCTCCTCTCATGGTAGCCGTATCCGAGAAAACCATGCCGAATTTGACACATATCTCACACCTGCACCCATGTCGTGTCGTGTCGTGTCAACACGGGTACTCTGCCCTAAACCAGCGAGTCCATGTAACACAGTGACTAACTGTACAAGGCATTCTAGTGACAAACGGTTCCTGAATTCTTGGAGGCTTCCCCACACTATTCTGAAGACCACACAACCATTGAGTGATGGGAGTTCAGTACGTATGGGTTGAGTGCATGAGAGCATAAATTTGAGGGATTATCTAATTTTTGCTATATTTTGCAAGAAATAGAGCTGCTATATGCCTTCATTGAGAGTGTGCTATTACTTTAACTGAGGGTTGAGTGTCTGTGAGCAATATACACTTCCTTACCATCATCCATGGCCGCATTGAGTGCTAACAATTATATTTTCCTATTGTTTTGTTTCTTTGCAGGTTGCATGGAAAGGATAATCTGAGTGTTGTGAGATCCTATATAGTGGGCCGAGTGTAGTGAGAATATATATTGTGTGTTTGTGCAATTATATAGCAGCTGTTGTGTATTACCTGCTGTTGTATATCTGGCACTTCTAGAACTCATGTATCTATCTATCTTGGGCAGGGTCTGCTAAATTCTTGAAGCTGGTAGCAAGGAGGGATGGCTGCTTTAGGCGTCTCGAGTGTGAAGAAAGCTTTTATTTTAATTGTATATATCTATTGAATCCATTATACTATGGTACTGTTGTTTGGGTGGATGCCTTGAAGATCTTTTGTTGGCCTACCCTTACGGGTTGTGTAAGGGATGGCTCTTTTTCGTCTCTTTTTTTGTATCAGATTTGTGAGCTTATGGAATGTGTTCATGGTCCACATACTATTTGTATAGGGAGCCTGAACATATACAAGGAATCACAATCTGTTTTGGAGCTTAAGTTTAGTCTTCCTTCCTGTGTTATAATTCTAAGTTATTTAATTGTTTCGTATATCTTTATTTATCCAGTGAATAGCTTTGGATTTTCCAAGTTTTATATATATCTTAATTTTGTTCGTTGAAGCTGTTTTTGTATCAACTTGTTCTCTGTTTGGCACGCCTCTTTAGGCTGTTTTTAGGTTGGTTGTTCCTACTTGTATAGTTGGGGTTAGGGCTTGGGGCATGCCCCTTGTATTTGTGTTTATATTCTGTTTTTATTTATGACTTATTCACCCAAAAAAAGAAATGTAGTGCAAGGGTCCCAAGGATGAATGATTTCTTTTTCTTTTTTATTTATTTAAAATAAGTCATAATAATAGTCAAAGAAGCATAAAATGGATGATCAAAAAAGTTTCCTTTAGGGAAGATCAAAGATGAGTTTGGTTTCCAAGAGAATATTTTGAAAAACAAGTTATCTTTTGTTGTTTGGACACATGTTTGTTTGGTTTTTGTGAAACTATCTTCAAAATTAAAAATATATATAGTTTAACGAAAATAAATATGAATTTTTTTTTTTGCATTTTAAAAATTATTTATGTCATCTCAAATAATAAAATTATATAAAATAATTAAAACAAAGTTTTTTTTACCAAATTAATTTTTAAATTTTAAAAAATATTTCTAAAAATAAGAAAATCAAACCAAACAAAGTCTACATTTTTTTCATAATTAGGAAAAGTAATAATGCATTTAGGGAGTTGGGCCATAAAAAAAAATGTAAAAAGTTAAATTTAAAAAAAAATGGCTCTTATTGAGGGAGACAGGCCACCATATATTATTGGGCCCACCAAGAAGAGGAAGCCACAAGATATTATTGGGCCCAAGAAAGGGAAAATGTAAATCAAATATTGGGCCCGAGTGTAAGAAAAACAAAAAGTGGATGATTCTATTTCCACCCAAAAAAATCATTAAGTACGTTTAATTATCAATACATCCTATTAAATTATTTAAGGTTATATTTTATTCTCAATACATCCTATGTTTTTCCTAAATTATCCTTCTAGATGCAGCCAAATAATAAACAAATCAAAAATTTCAAATTACACCACTTTACAAAAAACTTTTCAAAAATTCTAAAATAGATTTCTCACAATTATTTATTCACATACAGATTTCTCAATATCAATTAAACCATCGCTAATTTTTTTTTTTTTATGAGAATATATAAAACAATTATTTTATTGATTTGTAAAAATGATTTTTCTGGAAAGGGTCAGCAATTATTGTGTTCACCATGCCAAGTGCCCATTGGAGAAGATCATTGATGGGTTGTCCAGTTCGCTCTTTTTTTTTTTTTTTTTTAACGTTGCCCAGTTCTCTCTCTCGTCTCTCCTTATATATTTCAGTACAGTATCTATATATAGTTTCTTATAATTTTTGTTTATCTTAGCCTCTAATTCTTATTTTAATTTTTCCAATTCAAATGCAATTTTAAAGAGTTTTTTCTTTTATCTAAATAATACCCTAAACACAAAAATTAATAATTGTAATTCGATATTTATGTGACTACTTACATCACCTTTGATGGATTGTTTCAAAAATAGTTTTGATTATTGTTCTCATTCGTTATTTGATTTTGTTCAAACTTTCTTCTATTTGTAAGTAACAACACAAAAAGAAACAATGGTGTTGATAATGGTAAGCTTTGGTAAGGTGAATTGAAATTTTAGAGTGAGAAAGAAAAAGATAAAATAATTGAAATTTGGGGAAGAAGATAAGAGACTTAAATCTAAATAATACATATAAGTAATTAGGGTGTGCCATTAAAAAAATATATATTTTATTTTAGGATTTAATATGTGTTTTCCTTATTAATAAATTTAAATTAGAATATAATATGAATTAAAATTTCAAAAATTTAATTAGGTGTACTCAATTATTTTTTAAGTGCAAATAGAATCACCAAAAAAAATGGTTGTCGTTTTCATAATTAGGAAAAGTAATAGTGCATTTAGGGAGTTGGGCCATAAAAAAAATGTAAAAAGTTTATAAAAAAAAGAAAAAAGTGGCTGTTATTGTAGGAGACAGGCCACCAAGAAGGGGCAGCCACCAGATATTATTGGCCCAAAGAAAATGTAAATCAGATGTTGGGCCCAACTGTTAAAAAAAAAAAAACACAAAAGTGGTTGTCATATTGAGAACGGCCCAGCAGACATGGACCTGAGGAGCACTGGCCGGCCCGTAATCCATCCATCGACAAGAGCGAGAGGTAAACCTGTTTCCAACAATTCTTCCACCCGTAACCTGCTTCCAACAATTCTTCAAGGCCCAAACCTGTTTCCACCTGCAACCTGCTTCCAGCAATTCTTCAAGGCCCAACGGCCAACTCCTTACTTGGAATGGGCGGGCCAGCAAATAACCCATCAGGACAGCCTGCAGGACCAAACGAACTTCCAACCACATTAATACCCTCACTTGAGTCATAGGCTCGCGTTACCAAGCCCGGCGATATTAACCTCTTTGGTGGCTCTTTAAATAGAACAAAACTATGTTCTAATATCTCGATGTGGGAATAAAACAAGTTAAGAGAGCATTCCTATGTCAACCGCTCTCCAATCTCTCTTTCAACTTACTCTAGTGCACGTGCAGTCCCTAAAGCAATCTTGACACGTGTGTTCCAGATCAATGGCTTGCTAAATTCATCTGAGAGATGGAGGAAGTCATAAAGAGAACCATTTTTATGGAACTCATATACCAGCAGGTGTTGTCCATGCTCTGAACAATAACCAACAAGCTCTGTTATATTTGGATGCCGCAACCGGGATACGTCTGAAAGTATATCCATAAAATCTTCAGACAAGTGATTTGGAAGAGCAGATGAATTTATTTTCTTTACAGCAAGAACCTATAATATCATCAAAAGACATAAAAGGTGAAATCATTAAACAAATGATTTGACCACTGGATGAAAAATGAGGAAAGCTCAAAAAAATCCAAAAAAATGGTTCATTCAAATTGTTTTTGTTCAGATACCCATCGGGAACTGTGGACAATAAAGAAATAAGGGAAGGGGCATTGTATACTATTATGGAAGCCACTCTGGTGAATTTATTTTTCTTTTTTTCTACTCTTGGTTTTCAAAATTAACAATTCAAGTAGTACCAGCAAAGCATGTGCATGTTTGAGATAGATGTTTCTTAATGAATGATGATCCCTGCAACTAAACACTCTTCCCTACTTCAAATTTGCCATGTTGCAGGAACATAATTATCTGTCATAAATAAATATACTATTCACCAACAGATTAAGAAACTGTAAGCATTAAGCTCAAGAGACTACCTTTCTGTCATCAAACTGAGCCCGATAAACACATCCAATGGACCCCTCGCCGACAAGAGTTTCAACACTAAAATTGTCTGTAGCCATCTGCAGGTCTGCTATTGAATATGATATAGCATTTACTGGAGGTGTATGGACTTTCTTGGGAACAATGGTAACAATGGGTTTCCTTGAGAAATCATCTTCATCAAATGATTTGTGACGATCAATAGGTGGAGGTCTTAGGTTTACTGAGGCTGAAATTTCAAATGTTTTTGTGATGACTGTGGATGGAGTTTGAATCACTGCAAAAATGATGCCATAGAGTTAAAATTAAATACAGTGCTCAAGTAGTTTCAAACAAATGGAAATACAAGTAACATTGTGTTTTAATAAGACCTACAGAAATTTAGCCCCTTTTCAGAGTTTCAGCTTAGCTTATGTACATGGTATAAAGAAAATTATAAGGCTCAAGCCACTCAACAGTGGACATTCATAAGAAAAAAACTAATATCTTAGTCAAAGTTTCATCACTAAACATTTCTTTTAAGATAGCTGGGTGAACCTGAGTTCAAAGGAAGGTTTTGATTAATCTAAATTGAAATACATCAAGGGAAGTAGACCATGGAGGCCTGCATCTACTGCGTACTACTGAATCATGGATTTGTGATCCTTGACTCTACAGATTACAGCCAGAATCTGGATACAATATATGGAGAAAAAAAAATCCCCTTTCTATTAAGTATCACGACTAAGGAAATGTATTTTCAAAAGCCACAACTTAGCAGAAAAACAAATAATGTAAATAATCCCTATTTGTGTTTCAGGGGTCAGCCACATGAACCCTGTTTAACAATGATATCAAAGAAGTTGCAAACACCAAGAAACCCACAATAGGACAGTAATGATCTTTAACGTGGATATGAAGAGACATCACGAAAAGCTTTCTTCTGTTCATCTATCACAGACAGATGGAAAGGACCCCAAAAATAGCAGTGCAAGGGGAAGCTCAAAATATATTCCAATTTCCAACAGCCAAGAAGTCTCAACTATTTTGGGTACCACCTAAATAAGCTGCTTATTGGCTTATTTACTACAAGTTATCAGATCCGTTCTCTACTTTTTTGCACGTATTTTCGTAAAAAGCCAATAAGCCACTAAATAAGTCATACCCAAACCACCCTTAGTTTGGAGTTCTAAACTCTTCAACCAAAGTCACAAACGTCATAGTGTAGTTCATAACTATTGAGTTGAAGTCAAAAACGTCATAGTGATGTTCTTCATGGATGCAGCTTGTACAAAAATCCTAATTTTTCTACTACTTATTTCCAAGTGGAAATGTGTCTTCAAATAAAAATTCAATTTTTTTTCTTTGATAAATAATAATTGATTAAAGAAACAACATCAGAGGGGTTGCCACCCTTATACAAATAAGAACTCAAATGAACAAGTCAAAGCACACAATTATAGATTCAACACAATCAATCTTGTCTTTCTTAACCTAAATAACTCCTATCAAAACAGCTAATTACTTCCTATGTCTTTTTAGTTCAACCAAATTATTTGCGAGTACAGGAGGTTTGTGAGCAAAAATGTTACATTTAAGTTGAAGGCTTTACCATAGAACAGACCTCAATGGGGAAATAAGTAACTTAACATCCTGTAACTATAATGATGTTAGGACAAGACTCATTCCATCAGCCAAATATAATTACATTATCACACCTGCCTGTCCAAGTTCATGTAAATTTCATGGTTCTTTGTGGCACATGACATTCAAATTTCTTCCAGAAAGGTTTGTCAAACAAATTAAAATCCCATGAAGCTTGTCACAACCAAAATAAACAAGAGATAGGAGACAAGCTAAAGTAACATTTGATTATATGAAGAATTGGTACCTTGCCTCATGAGAAGCAAGAGAGGCAAAAGGCTGATTATCAAGTTTCTCTACATCAGTGGATGACCTTCTGGACCTTCTCTTCACAATAAAGAATGCTACCAATCCCCCAAAAACTAAAAGGGATATCACTATTCCAGCTACACCTCCACCCCCTATACCTGATTTTGAGCTGCCACCATCACTACCGCCCCCATTAGATGGGTTGTTATTGCCACCAGAATTGTGGTTTCGGTTGGCACTAGGCACTGGAGGTGTGCCAGGTGGAGGTGGGGGTGCAAGCCCTGAGCTCCATGAGTTACCATCCTTTCTGTTAAGAGCATCATGAATCTCATACTTAAATGAAAGAATTTCCTTCCATAGAAACTTTTAAATAATTAATACAGTGCGAAATGCTTACTGGAGATTTATATTCTTCAACTGGGAAGGAATCCAACCAAGCAATTGCATATATGTTCTAATATTTGCAAGCTTATCATCAGATTTATATGCTTACTGGAGATTTATATGCTTACTATGTTCTAATATTTGCAAGCTTATCTGCGCACATATTGCCTTCTCTAAGGATGTGGCTGATGGTGCAATTGCATCTGTGCATAAAAAATTTTGTATCTTCAAGCAAGCCTCTGTATGGAAAGTGAGAAGAGGTGCCACCAGCAGACTTGTAATTTCACTAAGGGGGTTCATCTAGAACAACTAGATTGTCTTAGTGGTTCACTCCTAAGTTAGCTAACCCATCTGCATTTTTGTTTCCTTCTCTTAGAATATGGATGATGGAGCAGTTGCACCTATGCAGTAGAAATTTAATATCCTCTAGTAAAGCTCTTTGGTGGAAGTTGGCAGGGGCATCTCCATTGGCCAGAAGCACCACTTGCTCTGAGTTTGTCTCAATGAGGGTGTATTTCATAGCCTTCTCCAAGATGATTTTCATACCCTTTTCCAAGACCTTTTCCAACTATTATAGTGAAGCCTTGGTATATTCTACGAATCTCTGATTTCAAGTTTGTTGCACCCTCAATCTTGCCCAAATTGTCATTAATCCATATCCTCTTTTCATCCATGAAGAGTCCTCCAAACCCAGCTTTGGTCTTGAGTTGCTAAAGAGTTAGTTGCCTTTAGTGCATCCATTGGTATTCAACTTGTACTTACTTTATTTGCATAGAAAAAATTCCATTAATTAATTTGGGTTCTATATGATCAGTGGATAAAGGAATTTAAAGGCTTCATAGATTTTTTTAAGTATAATAGACTATATAGTTATACTTATTTTCTTCGTTGATCTTATTATCAACAATGTCTAGGATTTTGTTCTCAAATTTTTCTTAAAATATTTACATTTATTGGATAATTAAAATTCAAGATATAGTAATTTGAGGACATAATTAATGGTGAAATTTGAGAATATAATATCTCATACCCTTAAATTGTTACATATTTATGTTCATGCGCAATGATGATGTATGGAAAATAGTTAGACATAAATTTTGTATAAAAAAACTCATTCAAAATATGATGAGATATTTTTTAAATTATAAATCACAAAACACCTCAATAGTTTATTTGTTCATCACCTATAGATATGGGGCACCACCCAACACTTTCCAATGGGTCAAATACAATAATTTGATAACTATTATTATATTCTCAAAGAGAATACTGACTTGAGTATCAATGTGTCTATTCTAACAAAACACTAATAATGTCTTTTGTTGAATATTCACGAAACACCGTTCATCTCTTCCTTAATTTTATATTATCAGCTATGCTTAAAATTATGTTTTCAAATTTATGTCTTAAAAAATTTATATTTATTGGATCATGGAAAATAAAATAATAGTAATTTGAGAAACATGATATAATGGTGAAATTCGGGGAAAAAAAATATTTGTTAAAGATTTCTATTTATGCGATGATGTATGGAAATTTGGGAAGTTGGGCCGCAGGAGGAGGAAAAAAATACAAAAAAAGTGACTGTTATATTGAGAACGGCCCATCAGACATTAGCGGACCTGAGAAGCACCGGCCTGTAATCCTTCCACCGACAAGAGCGGGAGGGATTCGCTGCTCTGTGAAACCAGCCTGGCGCTGTGCCCTCCACTCCAGGAAACGAGAGCCTCAAGCCTTCGCTTATGGCCCACGGTTCAACTCCTTACTTGGAATAGGCAGACCAATAAGTAACCCCATTAGAACCAGCCTGTTGAGCTAGACTAACTTTCAGCCATAATAATGCCCTCACTTAAGTCACAGGTTCACGTTACCAAGCCCAACGAAAAGAACTTGTTTGGTGATCGTTTAAATTGAGCATTTTTAAGTTCTTATTCTTCGATGTGGGACTGAATGCAATTCCAGTGCTGCTCACAATGACAACAAACAAACAACTTTCCAATCTTTGTTCGACCTCATGATAATAAAAAAAATCATAGTGGTTATTAATGAACGTTGATTTTTTATTTATTGAATCAGATCAATACATATAAATGAAGTAGAGAACTTGTATAATTTCCAGATCAACTGGTGATTGTTTTAACTATCTTCTTACCCATTTTCAATCCTTTGATATTACAAAATTGTTGTTGCCTTCTTCAAGTCCTGAACTCAGTTTAAACCTTTGATATCCAACAGTTTGTCACATCCTTCATGAGTTCTTACGTTATTGCATTAGTTTCTCACATCAATTGTTTCTCAAAAGTATTCAAAACATTTTTCAAAAAGTATTTATACCCATATCCTCCGAGTGCCTCATGGAAAACATGCTTGATAGTACATCCAGTTAGTTCTTCCAAAAATGAACTTGGAGTCTTTGGCCAATGCTCTGAATGTGCGTTTTTGTTTGGCTTGGCTCAATAGCCTTACTTCAATATCTAATTTTTTGTCCAAGACCTTTTCCAAATATTATAGCGAAGCCTCGGTATATTTTACGAATCTCTAATTCCAAGCTAGTTGCATTCTCAGTCTTGCTCAAATTGTATTCTCAATCTGGAAGTGGGTGGTAACATGTAAAGGGCCAACTATCACAGTCACTAAAAGCATTTGGAATAATTTAGCCCCTCCCAAAGTACAGTTGCTGAGCTGGTTGGCTTGGAAAGGTAGGATTAAGTCCTCTGAGTTTTTACAAAGGATTGGAGTATTGAATTCTAATGTTAGTGCAATGTGTGTGTTTTGTAAATCTGAGGTGGAGTCTTTAAACCATGTCCTTCTTCACTGTCCTAAGATCTGGAGAATATGGGCCAGTATTGTGAGTTGGTGGAACCTGAGTTGGGCTATTCCTGGTTCAATGAAGGCAGTACTTCACTGTTGGTCAAGTCTAAAAATGAAGAAAAAGGTAAAGGAGATCTAGAAGATGATACCATTGGCAGTAATGTGGTCAGTGTGGAAACTCAGGAATGAGTGCATATTTAATGAAGCACAACCAACTTTAAATGATTTGGCTAACCTGGTAAAAATTAGAGTTGCTATGTGGGCTGTTTTCTCCTTGGAAGAGTTTAATTACTCGGTGCACGATGTGTTACATAACCTGAAGCAGGTCTGCAACTGTGTGTAGAAATTGGGACATAAGGATGCTGAATTGCTGTTAAGAATGCTGGCGCTGGTGGTTTTTCTACTGTTCTGTTTTGATACAAGGAAATTGAATTGCTGATCTGGTGCTGTTGTTGGTCTGCTATGCTAGTTGTTTTTTGCTGAATCAGATGCTCTGGTGCTGGTGTTGATACCTGCTATGCTGGTGGTTTTTTTCTGTTCTGTTTAGGTGAAGTTTTTGTATCAGATATGGAAGTTTATGGTGTTGTGTGATGCTTTGCTAAAATATGATGATGTTGTTGTTGTTTTGTGGTAAATGATTGTGTCTAAGGTCAGGTTTTTGTTTTATAAGGTTGATGGCTGGGTGAGACTTGGGATGAGATGATGTTTTGGGCAGAAAGAACTTAGGTGTACTGATGCATAAGGCTGCCTACATGAAGTTTCATTTGGCTTTGGTTAGGCAGTAGAGAGTCTAAGCTGCTAGGAGTTGGCAGATGGGTATTATCCCACAAGCAGCCTATATAATCCAGATCAGTATGCAACAATCCTAATTCCTCATTACTATCATCAATTAAGGTCATTGCATAAAGATGGAGGATATAAGATTGTCACCAAGGTGCGGAGCTAGTATGGTGTTGGTCTGCTATGCTCTGCTGCCTGGGGGTTTTTGCTACAGGTCTTATTTCGTTAAACTTAGGCCTCATTTTGTTTTGCTGCTGTGATGGTCTCCTTTCTGGGGGTTTTGCTTCTTGATGCTAGACTGCTATGCTTAGGTGCCTACCTGTTGTTTGTCCTAGATGAATGGCTGAATGTCTGTGTTGGATGGATGAATGGCTGTATGGCTTGATGTTGGTCCGCTCTGCTTAGATGTCTACATGTTACTGTTGCTGATTGTTGTTGTTATGTTGTTGTGATTGGGTGGCTGGGTTGTATGCTGGACAACTGGTCTGCTGTTTGTTGTTGTTGTGTTGGTTGGTCTCTCACCAAGTCTGGGCGTACTAGCGAATGATAGGATGATATAGCGACCCCGGTCTTTTCCCATTTGATTTTTGTATCCGGACTTAGGTTCCGTAGATTCCGTCATTGTATAATTGTTGTTGTCATTCATTATTTTCTTATTTTGAGTCTTGGGTTGTGTTGGGAAGATTTGGAGCAGGTTGGTTGAGCTTAGGAACCAAGTCTAGTTGCCCAGATTTTGGCTTATCCGCTCGAGCGGAGGTTTGGACGCTCGAGCGGGGAATACACCCATCCAGTATCTCCTGTGTAGTGTTGGCCGCTCGAGCGGGGGATTGGACGCTCGAGCGGGAAGTCGTGAGTGACGCTCGAGCGGGGAGTTGGGCGCTCGAGCGGGGACCTGTCTGCAAAAACTTCTGGGAGAGTGCATTCGCCGCTCGAGCGGGAGTTTGGCCGCTCGAGCGGGAGTCTGTGAGTGGCGCTCGAGCGGGGGTTTCCACGCTCGAGCGGGGCGACTGGTATAAAAATCCGAGATCCGACTTTCTGGATCATTTTTCATCTCCTTTTTGATTTTAAAACCCTAGAACCGTCTTCTCCCTCTCCCTACACACCTTCTCTCTTAGGAATACGTGTTTAATCGTATGTTGTTTAAATCGATTCATATGCCATATTAGTATCCGAGAGTTTAGTGTAACATTGCATCTGTTGAGTACATTGTTGAATGGGTTGTATATATCATGCGATTGAATATGATATGGGAATTGTTAACATTGAAAGGAATAATGCATAATAATGATACAGGTTGAGATATATGTTGTGGTGAGAGATTCGAGGTATTCTCGGATTATAAGAGTCTGAAATATTTGTTTACACAGAAAGACTTGAACTTGAGGCAGAGGAGGTGGATGGAGTTCATAGAGGATTATGACTTTGAGTTGCATTATCATCCGGGAAAGGCCAATGTGGTGGCCGACGCCCTTAGCAGGAAACCTGTT